AATTCCCGCTTGATTAAGCCAGAGGGAATGGCATCCATACTCATGAGAAGCTGAGTAATAATGTAATCTACTTTCCCAGTTTTTGAACACTTAAGGGCATTTCATAATAATTGAGCCCGAAAGAGCCATTCTGTTTGTTGATGTCATCAGTCAACGGATGGAAATGCGAGGCAATAAATGGCTGGTTGAGCTACCCATTAGTGGTTTCCCTAATGCGATGAAGGTGTATGGTTCCACTCCCTTATCTATATAGGCTCGTATGGCGAAGGTTCGAGGAGAGTTGCCATCGCAACATACAGCTGATCCAGATCCACAGCTACTGTCGCCGCCGCCGCAGCTCCTAGACACCTCGAAATCAGTAACAGACATGTCTGTGCCTCCCAAAGAGGCAAAGGCGTTGTCTTCTAGCGTTTCGGCAGAAGACGTTGATCTAACTGATAAGGCCGTTCGAAAACTGATCGAGGATCTGCTGGATCAGTTAGTTTTAGAAGTCGATGGAACGAATGAAAAGACGGGAAAGAAGGACGATGAAGGTGAAGCCTCCCCCTCCGTTGATGCTGCCGTGTTTGCTGGCGGGGATCCTGAAACTACTGCGAGGAAGAATGATGGCAATTATACTCAAACCAAGTCTGGTATGCCATCCTTACATTCTGTTCTGTTAATTATTGGGACACAAAAACCTGTAAACATTTAGTGCACCCTGAAGACCGGGAATCTTGCCTTTGACTAGTGAAACCAATTAGGTTATGGTAGCAATACCAACTCTTTAAACTTGCTTCTTACAAAATGAGCTCAATCTATCTTTTCTTTCTCTTTTCCTTAGGCACGACTGCACAAAAGTCCAACCACGGTTCTGAGAACGTGGATTCCCAGGCCTTCCGAATGCCACCCTTCACCTGGTCCTATCTACACCAGATTCTTCTTGACAGTGTCCTTCGATCCATTGAGGATGAGTTCCAGTTAGTCTACTACTAGCAGTCTTTTTGCTACTTTATTGTCATTTTAATACCCTCTTTAGTGGTCCAAGTTTGAATTCGCTGAGGTCAGTGTGCCTTTATGCTCAAACTTCCGGAGACACACATTTGATTGGCGATGCCTCCAGTGCCTTACAAATTTTTGCGCTCTGATTCACCCTTCTTACTATCTCTTACCCATTTCTTCCCCAAAGCGCGTTATTGGTCTTGGAATACTTGCATCAAATGAAAATGCACAAGATGGAAGTAGTAGTGGGAACTAATTAGTCGCCGGGGTCTTTCATGTCCAAAGTGTCGGTAATGGGCAGTTTTTTGTCCCCTTTTGTTGCATAGGCAATATCCCAACGTCATGCCAAAGCACGTCAACAATATTAAAGTAGAGGAGTATCAATGGTAGTTATCTGTGACCAACCTTGTTTTCTTGGTGATTGCATTGTCTGAGATTACAGTTTTCATATCAAACTACCATTAGGCTGTTGTATTGCTAAAAATATCATATCGAACAAGTATTTCAACCTCAATAGAAATCTAAGTGTCTAAGCCTAACAACAAGAGATTTGTCAAGAATTTTTCCGTCACTTTAAGAGATGCCTATGTCGCGACTAAGTGAACCAATCTTGCCCTCGTTTCCTTTCATCTCTTAGCACTGTAACAGCCGCAGCACCGGTAGACACAACATCTCCACAGAAAGCAACACCGGTGGAGGCGGAGGCAGAGTCGGAGGATGAGACCGAGAATGTAGCATTGTCTAACCTTCAAGCCTTCATCAATGACCCCGCTAATCAGGTTTATGTTATCAATCTCATACACCTCGTCTCGCAGCTCTCCGACGGCCTTGTTACTGCGAGTGGTGGTCTTCTGCCCCTACTTGCAGCTACTACGTCACCAACAGTGAGTATGCTTTTCTTGATGGCCGTAGCTGATTGTTTCCCAGAGTGGGTCTTACTTTAGTTATTACCAGCACTACGGTCTAGTCAGTGGAGATCGAAAAACTTGGGTAGTTGAGCATTTGAAATCGATTCATTTTTCCACACGTACTCTGAATCTTTTTTCTTTTTGCGTGAGTCATCAAATTCGCTGTACCTTTGATGCTCTAGTCAGCTCTTGGGTCTCCGGAACTGCATAGGATGCCAGAGTTAATGCTATTAGAAGTGAAGGCATCGAATACCAAAAGATCCCACACATCTAAGTAATAAGTGTTCAATTTCTTCCCCTAATTTTTCTCACACACCCTCAACTTCAGCCATATCAAAATTCAAATGGCAAAATTTATGGGCCGACCTGATTAACAGGTTCTCACTATTTTTTCCCGAAACCATATTATAGTGCTGTATCCCCTCCCGTAGATGGAGCTAGAGGTGCAGGAGCCCTCGAGCGGTCTCTCGCTGAAGACTGCCCTAGGTTTTCTTCTGCGCGTGGCCAACATCGCGGATGTAGTTGTTTTTATGCCCTCCGTCAATCTCACCGCATTGGAAAAGGAGACTGGCATGAATTCCGGTGGTATCGTTCGTCAATGCCTTCGACTGGGTACGTGTTTTCCTTACATTGAAATTGTATGCTTGGCTTCTCGTGAAACTTACAACGTCTTTCACCAACCCCATATTACAAGGACTTGAGCTGACCAGATGCCCCATTTTAAATTGAGCCTCAGCGTTTTGGCTTGGTAAAATATGGAAATGGTAAATTATCCTCCCCGTCAGGATATTTCTCCCTTGAATTTATTTCTTTTTTTCCAACGAACGTAACTTTTCACTTATTCGCCGGCGGAAATTGCCTCCATTTGCATTTTTATCTGAACGGGCAATAGCGTAAAGGAGCGAAAGTTCTGCTTGATGGCGGGTCTGTTGTATCCGCCACCATTAGGAATGATTTTGCACTTCGCTTTTGTGGAACTCTCTTCTATTCGTTCTGCACTTGCTTAAAAGTTATGCTGACAATAAATCTCTCTCTCCTCCTTGGTATTGGTATTCAACTAGCTTCCCTTGTTTAACTTTTTCTCTTCCTCCTCCTTAGCCTGCCTTTGCGCAGTTCGAAATGCTCTCGAAGCCCGCCTCAAAGACTTTTTTCCTTCGGACGAGATTCTATCCCAGTTGCACAGTCATCCGGCGCCACACCATCACATTATCTTTCCTCTTCCACCTTTAACCTTGCGACCGCCGCTCATGCAGGCGGCATCGAAAACGTCATTACCCTCGTCGTCTTCGGCGTCCGCTGATTTAGCTGAAACCTCAGACGCAGCAACTGTTGCGGCAGCTACAGCTCGAGCCAGGCGACAGTCTCTTTCTGCCTTCTATTTCTACGGTTTGTTGCGTCACAAATTGGAGGTTATTCAGCGTCTCGCCAATCCAGCTACCGGTACCGCTCCCCTCACTCCGAAATGCGTAATCTTCCTTGATCAATTGCGACGCCTTCCGCCTGGTCTTCAACGCCTCGTGCTTGGCTTAAGACCTTCAATGGCAAACTATGCTCCGGGATTTATGGTTTGTTGTCTTTCTAGTTTCATTTTCACATTCTGACTTATTTGTCACTCAAAGTTGCTCAAGGTATGAGGTGTTTTAATATTTATCATTGCTTTGCATTAGTATTGGAAAACAAGTCCAAAAGAGTCTTAGGAATTCGTTGCCCTTAATTACGTTATTCGAGTAGTTTTCTTCTGCGATTCGACTTATTTTTCGTTATGAGTTTTCGCTAGGGAGTAAATATGGTTGTGCAAATCCATGCCAGCCCAGTCAATGGGTAATGGCGTAATGTAATCTGAGTATGCATCCAAAGCAGTTAACCTGACTTCTATCCTCCTTTCCTACTCAATTGTTAGTCGTGCTTTACACTTGATTGTCAAAGCTTAACATAGGAACGGTCGAGAAGATGAAATTGTGCATGCTACAGAAATGCGGGATGAATGGCTTCTCAATTCGTCATCAGCTCTACACACGTATGTGTGATCATTCAGCAACTCGAGAAGGTGAGGCGATCGAGGCGTGATTTCGATTATTAGTAGTCAAAGCACGTAGAAATTCACTTTCGTTGGGTGCATTTTCTAAAGCACCAAAAGGGAAGAGAACCTCATACTCTCAGGCTGACGCATGTTCATGCTTTCACGTGTACCTTACGAGATCCTAGGAATCACAATAATTTACTATCGTGTGATTTTCTGGTCGCCCGCTTCTCGTTTTCGTGTGGGTTTCATTGGGTCTGAATGTCATCGCATACTTCCTTGGCGCTTCTTATAATGCTATGTGCAGAAACATCCTTCACACGCAAAATCGTAGGATTGAAGTCTAAAAAGCCCTCAACATCTCTTCTTTCCATTCTACGACGTAGGTATCTTAGCCCGTTTTACCACGTTTTAGCAGTCGAGCTGTTTGGTGAAGTATGGTTTAGTGAATACTGAACTTGTAAGTTGTCACCTTCCAGAAGCATATTCCTTGAGTGGTACATAAAAATTGCACTTTTGAAACCCATGACTCGTAATAATCCGTGCATTGATTAGGGTTGTGACCCATGTGCGAGCTTAAGAATTACAGGATCAACCTATAAGGTTGTGAGTGAAAGGGAAACAGTTTCTGCAAATGGAACAGCGGAGGAGGCACCGCCCTTAACAGTCTTCTTTAAGGCTTTTGCACCGTTAAAATGACTTATCATGTAATCTCAACATCACTGTTACCTACCGTCTTGGCGAACACGACAAAATTGTTTCCTACTTGCGTACATCGCTGATGCGTTGGAACTTCGGTTTAAGTCATGAGCTCCGGTTTGGACTGTACCGCTTGATGAGTTGTTTTTCAAGAATAGATATACTAGAGCTTCATTATCTCTTTAAAAGAATATTTTGAATCATCGCTAAAATCTTTTCCATTTATCTCCTCATCTAGGGTGGGGTATTCAATAAGACTGTGGCCCATCCTCTCGCAAACATTGAATCACTTCTTCAGAACGTTGACATCAACCGCCTACACAACATTGTCTACAGAGAGGAGGTGAGTGAATAGAAGGGCAAAATAAGCCACTCAATAGTACTCTCATCACAACTTTCGTCTTCGTGTCTCATTCCTTCCCTTAGGAGGAGACACGGCAAGTGCAGTTTGTCGCTCTAGCGGTGATCTACTTTCTTTCCGTACTGATGGTTTCCAAGTATCGCGATCTCCTTAATCCCATTGATCTCTTGAGCCTGTGCCGACGTGAGGGTGCTCCACCGTCACTATCTCCTACTCCCTTCTCTCCTGCTTCTTGGCGTCTCGGATCTTCCGCCTCTGCTAACGCTCTCGCATCTACTTCTGAACGTTAGCTTAACGCATCTTAACCCTTAGCTACTTTTAAAATAATGTTTTTGGTTCTAGTAGATATTACGCCAATTATGTGCTCTATATCCTACTTTCTATTCTCTCCACAGTTTCAAATTATTTCCCGTTGAGATCAAAAATTCACATACTGGCACTTTTGTGTGTTTTCATGTGTTCACTTCTGATCCTATTCTATGCATGCCTTTGGTTTTCGTTCAAGCCTTGGTTTTGTAGACTCGTACACTCTCGTTGAGTTTGTTACCGCTGGTCCTCGAACAAGTTAGGTCCGCATTGTATGAGGAATTGTTCAGAGATTGTAAACGAGAAGAAATATATCAGAGTGATTCAAGTTCTAAATGCGTATTCATGCTGCCAGCTCTATGCATTCCACTGGGGCGATTTTAAGATGATCTCAGTCCTTCACAGTTTCAAAGCTGTTTTTGTGCAAATTGGAATGGCCAAACGTTTCCACAAGGCCTCGGTTTTCAGCCATTCTTATTTTAAGTTGCATTTAATGCAGGTCACACATGAGCAAGTTCGAGGTTTGATCTTTTTGCATTCGCAATAGCACCTCAGTAAATCAGCAGTGTGATTCACATTCAGCACTTATTAACCCATAACTGTTCCTCATGCGTTGCTTGTTTTCTACGTTATCGGCTCTAGATCGTTATGATCTCCAAGGATTTAAAACAAGGGGAATTTAACC